TTTTAACAAAGCAAAGAGAATTTGGGCTTTGAGGAACAATAAATCTTAAGGAATTGACTAGAAAATAGATGGAACTAATGGAAGATAAGGATGATTTTTGTGGGCTGTGTTTATATAAAATCATCTTGCTTCTGGCTCCCATCTTCAATATGGGTCATTCTTCTTTTCAGGTACTAGGGTGTCTGGGGAGGGACACTTCCTCAAAGGGAAATTCATATCTTGATTTTAGACAGCTGAGCAGAGGGCAGAGAACTCTTCTGAAAAATGTTCATTCTCAGTTGCCTTCAGCTCAATGTAATCCTTATCCCAAAGTGGCACATAATAGGGTAGAATATTCTGGTCCTCTTCATCTTCTAGGTTCCTCAACTATGAGAATGAAGCTTTTATTTCTTTTTTTTTTTCCTTTTTAATTATTTTATGAAACTTGTCATTAATGATGTTTGTTTTTTTATGTACTTCATAGGAACTAAAATTAAAATGGCAGCTGAATCAGCAGCACCAGGAAAACTCAGTCTTCTAAATTGCATAACCATTGAAGTTAACCTTTAAAATTGAAATTCTGCAGCACAAAAGATTTAAATGCTAAAAGATTCATAAGATGAATCTTAATTTGGAAGTATATTTGTGAAAGAAACAAAAATATGATAGAAAATGATTAAAATATTATTTTCAGTGCATTCTCAGCTAGCTTCATAGAGCTAGGAAGGTCAGAGTGAATAACTAATAATTTTAGCAAAAACTATCAAGAATTTTTAATGAATGGGCCCACCCACTATGAACCAAAGAAATGATAAACTCCAGGACTTCCCACAAAATATTTTTTTCATGAAAGTTATCAAGAAAGTTTTAAAATTTTATTCATAAAGAGGGACATTCAAATACTTAAAATTAATAAAAATATTTCTATATTCTACATATAGAAAGCTTCAAAACTAATTTCTGTTTGCTAAAAATAATTTACACAGTAATATGTGTTTTTTTAAATATCAAGGTCATAAATTTTTAATGTTATTTTCCAAATTAATTTATAAAGTTAATGTGAGTTTTGTATTGTTTTTGTGGCGGTGAGGATTGAACTCATGATCTCATACATGCCACATAAGTATTCTACCACTGAGCTATATATTCCCAGCCCTGGAATCAATGTAATTCTAATCAAAATCTCAATATGATTCATTGTTGTTTTTAAAAATCAGGAAAAATGGAATAAATTCTAGAGGAAAATGGACAGAAAATGTACTTTTAATATTTGAACAGTAAGACCAATAACAGATGTAGCATATCACATGTTTGAATATATAAAGCTACGAATACAAGTCCTGGGCAAGCTACTATGACAACAGGGTCAGGAGGAGAAAATGATGATCAAGAGTAAATATGTCCTCTATGTGAGAGTATTCTAGTGAAATCTTTTAAAACAGTATGTTTGTCGTTCTTTTTACCTCCTGAAGTTCCTTTTGAACTGATTGCTATTTTTTTTTTTTAACATTTCATGGCTGTGGGTTGAACCCAAGGCCTCATTCATGCTAGGCAATCATTCTGTCACTGAGCTGCATCCCCAGTCCTGATCATATTTTTAGTTGAAATTATTCACCATCACATCTAAGATGAATGCTTATGGAATTTATTTATGATTTTGTCATAATTACTAGTTTGTTTACAGTAATTCTTAAGGACTCAAATGGAGCTTGCAGAGGGGGTGGAGTCTTCTCASGATACACAGCCCTCTCCCCATGTTCTGATGTGTACCTCCTGATGAAGAGTGACTGCTTCTCTAGGAAGCATTTCCTTAGTTAGCCACAGATTAGAATAGGCTCTATTAATAATTAAGTATTTTGTGGATAAAAAACTGAGTGCCCCTGACATAAAGTAAAATGAAAATCTTTAATAGCTTTTGTTCTGTGGATCAGAACTCTCTTATCAACAAATTTAAAACTATTGCTGTCTTTCTGGTCTTCCTCTAAGCCTTAAGTCTCTGTCCATCCCAACCACTTTGGCTTTCCTTGACACACCGCATTTTGCGGTCATCTAGATTTCTCCTTGAAAAGAGAATAAAGATTTTAGAAAACCGGCTTCAGGTCTTGACTATCCATAACCTCATTCCCTTGCCTGTTTGCTATCTGTCTCGCCCATCTAGGAAATATACGTAGCTGTGTGATTGTGTGCTACCTACACTATCTGTGTTGAGCACCCTTGAAGCTCTTTGCTCATCCCCAGAAGAGAAGCAAATGTGGCATTTAACTGAACTGCTTACTTCAGCCTGCATAAGGGAGATAGTTCCAAAAGCTCTTACTTGACAGAGTTTCATCACTAAATTCTGTATATGTGACTTTCCCAAGGTTTAGTACAATGAGATTTTCTTTGAGAAGAGTATTATGATATAAATTAAAACACCAGATTTGTAGTCACAACATTGTGGACTTGCTTTTTATTGGTTGCATGTGCCTGAGCAAGACACTTAATCTTCTCTGCTTTTTTTAAAATTTAAAATTATGTATATATTAGCAAAGTACATGATCCTCATAGTGATAGTGGTTGAATAAAAGAGATGTTTTGTAATTATTGTCATATTTTGAAGGCTCTATTCCTGTAGACATGAAATTAATGTTTTTTATGTGTGAGGCTGTTTCAAGCCTATATAAAGTGAAAGATATATATTATTTCTGTTTATAAGGAACCACAGAGTTTCAAATCAATTCATATGTAATGATTCAGGACCTTAAAAATAGCAATGTCTTTGCAGCCAAGTGTGTAGTCTAGCTAAACAGGTGGTTTTATAATAAAGATCATCTGAAGTTTTTAATAAGCGGTATTAAACATAGACTGCTAACAGTGCACAATTGGTAACTTGTTCCTTTTATAATAGTGCTTTAGTATTCCACTGAAACATGGTTAGTGGATGTGCAATATTCTTTGTTACCATTATGAGGGACTGTGTATATTACAGCTTCTCTACTGTCTCTGCTGTTAGCTGGGAAAATGTTGGGAGAAACAGCAGCTACTATCAACAGGGAGCCATATTAATTATTTGAAATGTGCCTCATAAGAGGAATCAGCAGAGTTTATTACAAGTCGAATATTACTTGAAACGGGAAGGTTACTCTAACTGTTATCATAATCTATGTATCATTAACTTTCCTTGTTTAGGAAAAGAGATTAACAACCCTGTAAATTGCTATAGTAAATGTGAGAAATATAACTGCATATTCCCATGTAGAAAGGAAGTGGTGGATTCTTCACTTCTACCCAAACCTTTTTTTACATAAAGCAGCTTTAGAAAATGAACCGACTCTGTAATTATGCTTCCTTGCTTCAAAATCCTAATGGTTTGCTGCATCATCAATATAAACTATAGTTACTATGAGTATTAGAAAAAAATTGTATTTAAGCTAGCTTTTTTTTTTCCCTAAGACAGGGCATAACTGTGTTGTCCAGAGTGGTCTTGAAAATGCTAACAGTTTTTTAAAATCACCATTTTGACTTCCAAATCAACTAGCACTTAAACTCATAAGACAAAAAGCATATTACATTTAAGTATGTGAGAAGATAGAATGCTTTATTAGAAATAGAGAATAAATCCAGCTATTTGCTTTTTAAAYTATGACTCCTTCTTGTTTTTCCATCAAATACAATAAGCAGGTAGGAATGTTTTATCTATTCAAATAATGGAAGAAAATCCTCAAGGTAAAATATAAGTTAATCAGTGCTGTCAAGTGGTCTAAATAAATGTTACTCAAAGTGTCATCTGTATGTTGAGTGCCAGTTTGCAAATTGTTTATTACTTCTCTGCAATAAAATGACTACAAATATTGAAAGCAGGTTGACAGAGCACTTAATATCTGTTTAATCTAGCAATAAAAAATGGGAACTTGAATTTTTTATGTCTTTGAAGTTTTTCCATTTCATTTTTCTTATAACTCGTTTTTAAAGTATCACTGCATAATACATTTATAATTTAAATAAAAGGAGAGGAAGACTTGTTGAAGCAACAATTTATTTGGGTGATGTTTGGATGATTTATTCTATATTTATGTTTGAGAAGATTTGTCTAAACTCTGAAGTGAATATTAATTCAATGGAGAGCTAGAAAATATGCTGGTGGGACTGCAAATTGGTGCGGCCAATTTGGAAAGCAGTATGGAGATTCCTGGGAAAGCTGGGAATGGAACCACCATTTGACCCAGCTATTGCCCTTCTCGGACTATTCCCTGAAGACCTTAAAAGAGCGTACTACAGGGATACTGCCACATCGATGTTCATAGCAGCACAATTCACAATAGCTAGACTGTGGAACCAACCCAGATGCCCTTCAATAGATGAATGGATAAAAAAAATGTGGCATTTATACACAATGGAGTATTTCGCAGCACTAAAAAATGACAAAATCATGGAATTTGCAGGAAATGGATGGCATTAGAGCAGATTATGCTAAGTGAAGCTAGCCAATCCCTAAAAAACAAATGCCAAATGTCTTCTTTGATATAATGAGAGCAACTAAGAGCAGAGCAGGGAGGAAGAGCAATAGGAAAAGATTAACATTAAACAGAGACATGAGGTGGGAGGGAAAGGGAGAGAAAAGGGAAATTGCATGGAAATGGAAGGAGACCCTCATTGTTATACAAAATTACATATAAGAGGTTGTGAGGGGAAAGGGAAAAAAACAAGGGAGAGAATTAAATTACAGCAGATGGGGTAGAGAGAGAAGATGGGAGGAGAGGGAAGGGGAGGGGGGATAGTAGAGGATAGGAAAGGTAGCAGAATACAATAGTTACTAATATGGCATTATGTAAAAATGTGGATGTGTAACCGATGTGATTCTGCAATCTGTATTTGGGGYAAAAATGGGAGTTCATAACCCACTTGAATCTAAAGTATGAAGTATGATATGTCAAGAGCTTTGTAATGTTTTGAACAACCTATAAAAAAATATGACATCATAAGAACAAAAGGCGTAATAAGACAGAGCTTCTATGTCTTAACATTTCCTTTTGTGTCCACAGGACAAGCACATCATGGACAGGTTTCCTATATCTCTCCACCAATTCACCTTGACTCTGAGCTGGAGAGACCCCCTATTAGAGGTGAGTTCTTCCCTATTAAAAAAAAAAAGAAACAATAGTTTCATCAATGATCAACATTCTTTGATGAGGTTCAGTAATTAAAGACAGTTAGTTGTAAATATGTATTTTGTACTGCAGTGATTGTTTAAAAAGCAGGGATTAAAAAATAAAGTGTGTGAGTAGTCTGGGAACAGAGAGTCTTTCTTATATTTGAAAGTGTGAGCTATTGTTCTGGGGAATACTTGTAAGCCAAAATATAACCAGAATACAGCAGCTTCATAAAACAGGGATCTATAGTTATTCAACTAATGGTGGACAAGTTGAGATCACTAGATAACATTACTTTTTTACAAGAATTTTCTTTTTTTCCATTATCCTGTCTTTCACATTATAATATCTTGATCAAAAGCATAATGACACATTTATTTTTAGAAATTGTCATTTTATTGTGATTCCATTTGTTATTTTATTATTACTAAAATCACTTAGTTTTAAAATTAAATTATGTATTTTCAAATTGGTGCCACTTGATGTTTTAGTTAAAGCTTTGTTGAATAGTCATACAAAATGAAAATCCAAAGGTTAAAATTAAATGATTCAAAATACAAGTAGAGATGCTTGGCATGGTGGTGCATGCCTGTAATCCCAGCAACCTGGAAGGGTGAGGAAAGAGAGCCACAAGTTCAAAGCCAGCTTCAGCAATGTTATTAACAATGCCATGTCTCAAAATAAAAAATAAAAAGGTCTGGAGATGTGGCTCATTGGTTAAGTGCCCCTGGCTTCAATCCCCAATACCAAAGAAAAGCACAATTTGAGAATTATTTTTTGTGCTTTTAAAAAAGCACTTATCCTGCTGGGCACAGCATCATATGCTTGTAATCCCAGAGGCTCGGGAGGCTGAGGATGAGGGTCACAAATTCAAAGCTAGCCTCAGCAACTTAATAAGCCCTATTCACTTAGTGAGACTGTCTCAAAATAACAACTAAAAGTGGGCTGCAGATGTGGCTCAATGGTTAAGTGTCCTGGGTTCAATCCCTGATAAAATAAAGAAAAAAAGAAAAAAAGAAAGAATGAAGCACTTATCTATGGTTTTCAGAATGTTTCATAAAAAATGTTTCATAAAAAGAGATCAAAGCAGATTTTGTTTGTTTGTTTTCTGCAGTACTGATATGGAACCCAAGAACACTCTACCTCTGAGCTATGCTCCCAGCCCTTTTATTTTTTTGAGACAGGGTCTTACTAAACTGCCCAGGCTGGTCTCCATCTTGAAAATTCTCCTGCTCTGCCTTCAAAACCGCTGGGATTACAGGTGTGTGCCACTGTGCCTGGCTCAAAAAAAACTAATGTTTTTTAAACATGTCCTCAAATTTTATAAATACCAGTTATCCCAAGGTCACTTTTTGGTTTTAGCTAATGCAGCACTTGTTTTTTTTTTTTTTTTGAAAGTATCACCTGATTTTAAAAAAAAAATTAGATCTGATTATTTYTTAGCATGTTTTATGTCCAGGGTTTTTGACCTCTTGTCTAATAAATTTCTGCCAGCTTGTCAAGGCACTACTGTATTATCAGTTCCTCAGAAGGGAGGAGCTCTATGCCTCTGTCTGTGCTTCCTTCCATTATAACTAAGGCATTGTATTTGATAGAGCCTCATGCATGTTTCCCTCTCTTATCTGTATGCTCCTGGAGGGCAGAGGGTACCATGATTATTATTTCTCTCCARCCATTGGTCTATGCTTGACACATATTGGCAACTCATCCAGTGATTTCTGTCCAAATGACTAACAGTCTAGATTTTGAAAAATGCATTTATGTTTTTTAAGAGAAAAAGGAGGCAGGGATGAAAAAGGAATCCCACAAAAAGGAAACAGAATGAACCACAACGTGGATGTATGAAATTGTGTGGTATTTCTAAGGTAGTATGCAGGATGTACAATAACATGGGAGCAATTCTACAGAGAAAAAAAATGGAATAATGTAATTAAGACTGTGAAGGTTTCTGTATTCTTTACTAAGGAGTTTGGAAAAAAAGAACCATGAAGTACTTTTGGGTGTTTTCCCCCCAAGTCAATGATGTGTTACATCATAACATTTCAGTTCTTCATATAAAGAAAACATCTCTGATGTTCCTATAGATAGTGATCTGATAATCGAAGAAATTAGCAGAGGAAGTTTATCCAGCAGTTCAGACAGACGATGATGGGGCAATTAGGAATGTGTTTCTGACCATGAAGTAATTATTGGTAAACATGGAATTGTGTTTTAAAACTATTTTGAGTTTGGCACAGTGGTGCATCCTTTTAGTCTCAGCTACTCAGGAGGCTGAAGCAGGAGGATTGCAAGTTCAAGGAGAAACTCTGCAAATGAGGCAAGATTGTGTCTCAAAAATAAAAAGGTCTGGGGATKTAGCTCAGTGATAGAGTACCCCTGAGTTCAGTTCCCAGTACCACAAAATAAAGCAACAACAACAACTCTATTTTGAAAATGAATGATGTGTGTGTATATACATGCACACTAACACAACATTACCTTCTTTCTTTTCATGTTCTATAATCCATGAATCATTTTGGGTTTATTCTGTATGTCACCATCCTACCTTTTCTCATTTTCACTGTAATTTTTTATGGAAATGTATTATATGCTAGKGCTGCATTYATTTATCATAATGTATTTCTTTTTGACWTATGCCCAGTAATGTCTTACTAACCATAAGGAAAATGTAGWAGCAACTTACACAATACCCTTAAATAAAATGTATTCTCTACAATTGCAAAGTAGCTGTTGTATATAAATTCAGTGGCACTTATCCACTAATGAGTAAATTTGAGAGATTCTGTTCTTTAAATCTAATGTGATCATACATGGTATTTGGTCACATAATTTATGCTTGTGATAACTTTATGTGCATTCTTCAATTTACAGATTTTATTACTGAATAGAGGTGTAAATTCCAATAGTTTACTAGTGCATTAATGTCACAATACATTACAAGGTAATTAACCAGAGCTGCCACTATAAATAGAAAAATAGTCACAGCCTTCACTATAAACTACTTAATAAAAATAAGGTCCTGAATCAGCATTCACCATTATAGTAATTTTTCTTGACATATGTCCCATTAATCAGGACTTTAAAAAAAATAGCTTCATCTGGAAGTAGTGTTATTTTTTAGCCATTCATTATTAAAACAGGTTTGTTACAATTTTGTACTTATTTTAATGGGATTGGTTATATATTTCACTATGAAAATAAATTCTACATGTCTTTGAGACACATTTCCCAYTTTATACAAGTGGAAATGAAAGAAATACTATTTTGGTTATTTTGTGGCAAATTGGTAAATAATTGCATTGTAATTCTTAGTAGGGCTCATTAAGTATTGGAGTTCTCCAAGTCATGTGTCCCTCCAATTTTTCTTTCTTGMATCTTTTATTTTGCCTCCTAACTATTCATATGCAAAATATCCTTCTCTAAAATTCTGTCTATATTACAGGCAGAACCACTCAAGAAAAGTGATTGTGTGGGACTTGGTGTAGAAGCTGAATTAGAGTCCCGAGCAGAGGCATACATTGTTGGGKATTCAGACATAACCCATCATACTTCCTTCGGTTGAATGTGCCATTTTTGCTTTTTCATTTGCTTGTGTCATTGTTTTCCTGTACAACTAGGAGTTCTTCACATCGCTAGCAAGTAAAGTTGGATAAATTCATGTGAATTACAAAAAAAGATATTAACTTCTAARATGTCCTCCATTTATATTACTAAAGATGATATTTTGAATGTTTCACTATATTGAATTTATTTTGTATAGTCTTTCTTTAGGTAGTATCTTAATAAGAAGTCTAATATTGAAATGTACTAGTTTGTACATTTGCTAATTTTGACAGTTACAATCTATACTCTGAGAAAAGAGCTCAAATATTGGCTCACATTTGAGAAAATTGCATCTATTTTTTTCCAGTTTTTTTTTTCTATAATAGACTGAGTAATATAAACATGGTTCAATTGGCACATAATCAATGAACTAGAATAATGCCAAGCATTAAGTTTCATGTGCGAATTGAATTACATTCAGCAAATCCACACACTGAAAATATTTTTTAAAGTTCAAAATAAGCAGATGGTCCTGCCTGGTGCATCTACATTAAAAATAGACTGTAGCCAAGATTTAGCATCACAAATTAGAGATGTTAACACACAGTATCAGCTAGTGAAACGTAAAAACATTTCAAACTGATTAAAGTAAAATAGRAATGTGACATCTGGCATTGTTATTCCAGCGTTTCTAGGCCCATTCTCTAATATTCTACAACGGGTGCTTTTCTAACTAATCTGGTTAGTATACACTATCTGGCAGAACATAAATTTCCTAGCTTTACCTATGCTTATCCCAAGAAAATGAAAATTCTCTGGTCATGGTACTTCAACACGCTTATCCTACACTTGTGAATGCCTAATAATTATTTTTTGATAGGAGGGTATCATGTAAAGTATGCTGTGCACATCTCTGAGATACAGAGAGTACAGCTTGCTATTTTAATGACAAACACAGCTTCATTTATTATGTACCTTTTATCTAACCCTGTAAAAAACAAAAGTTACTGCATACTGTCTCATGTAGTCCCAGAAGGATCTTATTTATTTAAACTTAATGATCAATCATGATCATATTTCTAGCATCAATCATAGTGTCATAATACTATATAAACACTGATTGAATTTGGGTTGAATTGAATTGAAATTAAATTCTAAAMATAATATTAAAATATACTCATCATTCAATATTGTCAGGCCTAACTTTGAAGGTTTTGTAAACCTATAACATACTTTCCGAATGTGAGTTGTTTAAAAATTAACATTAAGAATTTGAAACAAGTTATAGCACTCTTGTTGGCCCCTTGTGKAATATAATTTATATGCTGAGAATAATTATCCCAGAATGTAAAATGATCTGGTAGTTTTTCACKTTAGGATCAGATGACTTGTCCTTGTCAACTCTAAATGAGCCCCAGTAAGAAGAGGAG